ATTCTTGAATGTCTTCTACCCATAGAAGACCACAAAAAATTTGAATACGAAAATGGTGATATTGATTTGTATGGAAATGGAGATATTTTAAATCCACACCCTTAAAAATATATTTTTTTAAAAATCCACACCTTGTGTAGACTTAAAAATATTCTTTAAAAAATTCACACCTTATGTAGGCCCTTAAAAGTATTCTTTATAAAATCCACGCCTTATGTAGACCCTTAAAAATATTTTTTAAAAAATTGTCACCTTATGTAGACCCTTAAAAATATTCTTTAAAAAATTCACGTCTTATGTAGACGCTTAAAAATATTTTTAAAAAATCCACGCCTTATTTAGACCCAAAAAATATCACAAAAAATTCGATTACGAAAATGGTGATATTGAAGACCCTTAAAATTATTTTTTTTTTTTAAAATCCACGCCTTATATAGACCCAAAAAGACCACAAAAAATCGAATACGAAAATGTTGATATTGAATTGTACGGAAATGCAGATATTATAGATCCAAGAATATGTTTTAAAAAATCCACGCCTTATTTTGACCCAAAAAATGATCACAAAAAATTCGAATACGAAAATGGTGATATTGAATTGTACGGAAATGCAGATATTATAGATCCAAGCCTTATGAAGACCCTTAAAAATATTTTTTTAAAAAATCCACGCCTTAAAGATCTTTTTAAAAAGCCAGGCTTTATGTTGACTCTCTGTAGAACCTAAAAACCTTTTATTTAAATTCGCACCCTTAAAAATATATATTTTTTTAAATTCACGCCTTAGGTCTTTATGTAGACCCTTAAAAATATATTTTTTAAATCCACGTGAAAATTTTTTCCCTTTACCACTGACCACTTTGAAAGCCCTTCGATACATGTTTTTTTACAATTGTTTGACAAAATAATTACACAGTATTTGGACAATAAAATGGAATTTATAACCACAAACACACACAACACATGTGTGTAAATTGTCAAAAAAAAAAACAACAACATTTACGACGTTTACACCCCACCCACCCATCAAAAAAAACTTTTCGACTGACAAAAAACCCGCCAAGTTCTAAACGTAACAGACATTCGAACATTTCTCAAGTAATAATAAATCAGTGGACATTTTGAAAATTTCAGTGATGACTTCTAGTCACGCTAATGGTCTTGAACTGCTGGTAGGTAGTCGATGATGATGGTGGTGGGGTAGCGGCAGTAACCTTTCCATGAAAATATGTATATGAATATCGGAACTTCATATTGGAAAACCAAAAAAAAAATACTGAACAGGGAAATTCATTTCTAATTAAAGACCTTGACAGAGAATTGGGCAGGGGGATTAAGGGGACTTGGTAGGAATTTAATAATACGGGTGGACGACGTCATTTGTTTTTTAGAACATTTTTGGTTTTCCGTTAAAATATTCGAAGGATGTGGGGGAAAGTGTTTTGTATAAGTAACTGATTTATAATACTATCTAGCCTCTAATTCAACTTCCCAACTAAACCTCGTATTTGGAGAACCACAAAAAGGACACTCGAAGGATTTACATAAACTTAAATGGCAGGCGTTAATGTGTGCCTTCAATTGTCTATTAATAAGGAATTATTCTGAGAATTTCTGCGGGGTGGTTCCAGGACTTTTGTCGTCAGCACAATTGATAAATAATTTAGAACAGAGAATGATTAATGAATGTAACTTGGAAAAATCCTTTTAATTTAGCGTTTGACTTTTCGATACAAATTAAAAATAAAGCAATAAGGAAATTTCGGAAGGAAATTATAGGGTCATTAGTAGTATTTAGTGTTATTATAACAAGTCAATGAACTCCGCGTGGCAATGCGGAAGAGAATATGAAAAGAAATTAATTGAATATCCCGCGTCATTAATACAAAAAAATAAAAGAATCTAAATAGAATAGTTTTTATGGGGCCTGGATAGTTTAAAAAATGTTTTTAAAAGACTACTACAAGGCGTAGATTTTTTAAAAATGATTTTAAGGTTCTATCAAAGGCGTGGATTTTTTAAAAATGATTTTAAGGTTCTATCAAAGGCGTGGATTTATTAAAAAATATTTTAGGGGATTTCAATGGCGTGGATTTATTAAAAAAATATTTTAAGGGTCTATCAAAAGCGTGGGTTTTTAAAACATATTTTTTCCGATGTCTAAGGGGCCTATCAAAGGCGTGGGTTTTTAAAACTTATTTTTTTAAAGGTCTATGGGGCCTATAAAAGTTGTGGGTTTTTAAAATATATTATTCGACGTGAGCGAAGAAGGTATTATTCCAGAAAATTTAAAGCATTTGGTTCCACTGCTCGGTGGCGATTTCTCAGGACGTGTGGCTGCTTAGGTAATGATGAAGTGGCTTATTTCTTCTACATGAATCTGATGTTGGATGCTCCTTTAATTGTGTTCAAATTGATTATGTTTTTATGGCGTCTATTGGTGTGGACGGAATACCTGTAGATTTTGTTAGACTTATGTTCTCCTATGTTGGTGATTATATTCTCGATATGATTAATTCAATACTAACATCTTCTGTGTTTCCTTCATCATGGAAAAGAGCTTGAGTTGTTCCGATACCTAAATGTCAAACAGTTAATAGACCTGCTGATTTTCCATTCTTTTTTTCCAAACCTATACTTAATTACTGGCTTGTGACAGAACATTCGTTCCATAAGCCGAGCTTAAAAAAGATTTCCAAGCACGTCGGTCTTGTGCGCTTCTTCTCCAATTTGAAAGACCGCGTTCCAAGATGTTTTTTTCTACTTGGTCTTTCCATCGTATTCGTGGCCTTCCCCTTCTGCGTGAACCATCAGCTGGTTCGCTTTTATATGTCTTCTGGGCTGGGGCATCTTCATCCATTCTCACAACATGACCTAGGCAACGTAGTCGTTGCAGCTCAATACAACTGACTATGTCGATGTCCGCGTATAAATTGTAGAGCTCGTGATTTATTCGACGCCGATATTCACCGTCGACGCAGATTGGCCCGTAGATCTTTCGGAGAAATTTTCTTTCAAACACCCCAAGAGCTATCTCATCTGCTTGCACAAGTACCCATGCTTCAGATCCATATAACAGCACGAGTAGTATCAGCGTCTTGTAGAGTGTGAGTTTGGTCTGGTGGGAGGTGGTCCTGCTTCTAAACTACTTACTCAGACCATAGTAGCACCGGTTGGCCATCACTATCCTTCTACGAATTTCAAACCTGATGTCATTCGTTCTGTTTATGGCGCTACCAAGGTATATAAAATCTTTGACTACCTCGAAGCAGTAGTTCTCAAGTTCCACAGTTGGTCCGAGTCTACTGGACGTCTTGCGCGTTGATACCATCATCTTGGTCTTCTCGCCGTTTACTGCCAGACCCACTTTGGCAGACTCCTTCTCAATTTTTTCAAAAGTGGCTGTTACCGCTCTCAGTGTTCGACCCATTATGTCGATGTCATCGGCGTAGGCGAGTAAATGGTGTTGTTTGGTGGAGCCATTTCAGTTCACCTTTGCCTCTCGTATGACCTTTTCCAGCAGGATGTTAAAAAGGTCACACGACAAACTTTCACCTTGTCTGAATCCCCGAGAGGTCCTTTCCGACTTTAACTGCTGACCTTGTGCCAGTTAAAGTTATTCTGCATAGCCGTATTTATTTTGCAGGAATGCCAAACGCAGACATGGTTTTATACAACTCTGAGCGGATAGGTCTGTCGTATGCGGCTTTATAGTCGAGGAATAGATGAAGTGTGTCAATGTGTTTTTCGTGGTTTTTTCCAGGGTTTGGCGCAGAGTGAAAATCTGGTCGATGGTGGATTTGCCGGGTCTGAAGCCGCATTGATATGGTCCAATAATGTCATTGTCGTTCACACAGCACACTGGATCGCACTTTATATGCGATGGGAAGGAGGCTAATTCCTCTATAGTTGGCACATATCGTCTTGTCTCCTTTTTTTGTGCAGGGGACACAAGATGCTGAGGTTCCAATCATTGGGCATGCATTCTTCTAGCCAAATTGTACTAATCAGCATCTGACCACCAGTCTAGAATAGTTCGGCTGGTAACCCATCGGCACCTGCTGCTTTTATTCTTCAGCCGATTAATTGCTATTCTGACTTCATCTTGGCTAAGTGGTATACATTCTATACGGTTATCTCTTATTGGTTCTGGGGTATCCTCTTCACCGCCACTATTTGATACCAGAAGTTTTTCGACATCTACTGGAGTGAATCTGGACGAGGTCTTTTATTCTAATATTAACCAGAAATCCCCAGCCAAATTCACGTCTCATTTCATGCCAGCTATAATACAGGGCGTAATCGTCTGATTTACTTACGCCAGTCCCTTTCCATCGCATTTCCTGTAAGGCAATAATATCGGCTTTGTACTTCTTGAGTACATCCGCCAAAGCGAACACTGCGCCTGTTCTGTAGAACGTGCGCACATTCCAAGTGCAGATCGTGGTCCTTTATACGTTTGCGGGGGTCGTCAACATTAGGGGGGTTTGGTTTTCTTTTTATTTGCTTGTTCATAGTAGGTTCGGTTTTATATTAGCTCATTATTTCATCGGGTGATGAAAATAGCTACCCCAGGTGGCACCACGGGGAGTTCAGAGTCTACAATTGAGATGAAAGGGGTCCAAGATAAGCCTGGACTTCGCCATGTTAAAGCCAATCAGAGCCGTTGCTTGGTATCCATCATCCCCTACGCCACCAGTATTTTTTGCACACACACACGAATATCCTTGTAATCCTTTATTTATCCTTGAACTGCTGGTCATTAGCAAGTCTTTATTTTCTGAAAATTTTTTTAAAACCTTCAAACAAATATTATAAATTATTCCTGCAGCTACTACCGAGGGCTTCTGGTTATTTTACGAGCACAACAACAACACCACCAACCAGCCAACCAATAAAAATCAATATTACTATTTTTGTTGTTGTCGCATTTGTCTGTCTGACCATTGTCTAACACACCCATTTTTTCTTTCTTTTCTATTTTCCTTCTTCTTCTTTAGAAGCGATGTTATTATGGCCAACAACTATAACGCAACGAACGGAAGCGGAAACGCCAATTCAACACATGAACGACGCCAGCAACAACCGATTTTCTTGTGGTGGGGTCAACGATTATGGCAGGAGTTACGTGGCCGCATACATATGCGTACCCCACCCGCCACAACACCCGATGATGATATGAAAACCCCCTCAGATGGTGGCGGAGGTGGTGGTGCAGGTGGCACCGGCTTGGGTACGCCCCTCGATGATTCCGAGAAACGTATTATCTTCATTAATCGCCCACAGATCCAGAAGTTCTGTAACAATCATATATCCACAGCAAAATATAGTTTTATAAGTTTTCTGCCATCGTTCCTGTTCGAACAGTTTCGAAGGTATTCGAATTGTTTTTTCCTGCTGATTGCCTTGCTGCAACAGATTCCCGATGTGTCGCCAACGGGACGATATACCACATTAGTGCCATTGATATTTATTTTGGCTGTGAGTGGTATTAAGGAAATTGTGGAGGACATTAAGCGGCATCGGGCCGATAATGAAATCAATCATCGCACGGTGGAGAGGCTAAAAGATGGCGCCTGGATGACTGTGCGTTGGGAACAATTGGCCGTGGGCGATGTTGTGAAAATTCCCAATAATACCTTTTTCCCAGCCGATTTGATATTGCTGTCCTCGTCGGAGCCTCAGGCCATGTGTTTTATTGAGACCTCCAATTTGGATGGGGAAACAAATTTGAAAATACGCCAAGGAGTGCCAGCCACGGCAAGGTTGCTGGAGACCCGAGATCTGGTCGAACTGGCTGGGGTAATGGAATGTGAGTTGCCGAATCGTTTGCTATACGAATTCAATGGGGTCTTGAAGGAACATGATAAACCGGCCGTGTCTCTAGGTCCGGATCAGATTTTACAACGTGGTGCAGTGCTGCGTAATACCTCATGGATATTTGGTATGGTGGTCTACACGGGGCATGATACGAAATTGATGAAAAATTCCACTTCGGCCCCGCTGAAAAGATCCACCGTGGACCGATTGACGAATACCCAAATTTTAATGCTCTTTATGATCCTGCTGGTCTTGTGCCTGACCAGTGGCGTATTCAATTTCATCTGGACCCGACAATACTTCACAGCCGATTGGTATCTGGGCCTCGATGATTTCAAGAGTAAAAACTTTGGCTACAATCTCCTCACCTTCTTCATTCTCTTCAACAATTTAATACCCATCTCGCTGCAAGTTACCCTGGAACTGGTGAGATTTTTACAGGCTCAATTTATTAATTGCGATATACAAATGTATCACGTGGAATCGAATACTCCAGCCATGGCACGAACTTCGAATTTAAATGAAGAATTGGGTATGGTGAAATATATATTTTCGGATAAAACAGGCACCCTGACCCGCAATGAAATGGTTTTTAAAAAATGTTCCATTGTTAGTGAAATTTATCCGACGGAGAACACCCCGGAGCAGAGTTTGGTGGTACAAAATCTCCTTAGTAAACATCAGGATGCTGGGATCATTAGAGAATTTTTGGTTTTACTTTCCGTGTGCCACACAGTGATACCCGAAAAGAATCCCGATGGTTCAATAACCTATCATGCCGCCAGTCCGGATGAGCGGGCCCTGGTGGATGGTGCCAAACAGTATGGTTTTGTTTTTGATACCCGCACGCCGCACTATGTGGAAATTAATGCCCTGGGCCTGAGAGAGCGTTATGAGATTTTAAATGTGCTGGAATTTACCTCCACACGCAAGAGGATGTCGGTGATATGTCGAACCCCAGAGGGGGAAATAAAACTTTATTGCAAGGGAGCCGATTCGGTGATCTATGAACGTCTGGCCCATGAGGGGAAATCATTTAGTGATGTGACCTTGCAACACCTGGAAGAATTTGCGGCAGAGGGTCTGCGAACCCTTTGCTGTGCTGTGGCCTCGATACCCCAAGATGTCTACGATGATTGGCAGGCCACCTATCACAAAGCCTCCACCACCCTCAACGATCGTGAACGTAAAATGGAAGAAGCGGCGAATTTAATAGAAAACAACCTGCATCTATTGGGCGCCACTGCCATTGAGGATAAGCTACAAGATGGGGTACCTGAAACAATAGCCTCCCTCATTGAGGCGGGGATAAACATCTGGGTCTTGACAGGGGATAAACAAGAAACCGCCATTAACATTGGCCATTCCTGTCGTCTCATCTCCCCCTCCATGGATATTGTCATCCTGAACGAGGAAAGCCTCGATGCCACCCGCGAAGTCATACATCGTCATTCCAGTGAGCTACAGACTTCGATAAATAAAAACTGCAATGTGGCCTTGATCATCGATGGCAAGACGCTGAAATATGCCCTAAGCTGTGATCTGCGAAGAGAATTTCAGGAGTTGTGTACCAGCTGCCGCGTCGTGGTATGCTGCCGCGTTTCACCCATCCAAAAAGCCGAGGTGGTAGAACTCATTACCACCACCACCAAGGCTGTGACCCTGGCCATTGGTGACGGCGCCAACGATGTGGCCATGATCCAAAAGGCCAATGTCGGTGTTGGCATCTCCGGGGTAGAGGGTCTACAGGCGGCCTGTGCCTCAGATTATTCAATAGCCCAATTCCGCTACTTAAAGCGTCTCCTGCTGGTACATGGTGCATGGAATTATAGGCGTATAACCAAACTCATCCTCTATTCCTTCTATAAAAATGTCTGCCTCTATGTCATAGAGCTGTGGTTTGCCATCTATTCAGGGTGGTCGGGTCAAATCTTGTTCGAAAGGTGGACAATTGGTCTGTATAATGTGGTGTTCACCGCCCTGCCACCCTTTGCCATTGGCATTTTTGAAAAGGTCTGCTCTGCGGAGACCATGCTGAAATATCCCCTGCTCTATAAACCCTCACAAAATGCCAAACTCTTCAATGTCCAGGTATTTTGGGTGTGGATCATCAATGCCCTGCTGCATTCGATAATACTCTTTTGGTTGCCCCTGGGGGCTTTGGGCAGTGAAACCATTTGGGCCAATGGCAAAACCTCCGATTATCTTCTCTTGGGTAATCATGTCTACACCTATGTTGTGGTCACCGTCTGTTTGAAAGCTGGTCTTTCAACAAATTCCTGGACCTGGCTGACGCATGCCTCCATTTGGGGCTCCATTGGCCTTTGGTTCCTTTTCATTTGTATTTATTCGAATTTTTGGCCTCTCCTACCCGTCGCGGCCAATTTCCTTGGCATGGAGCGGCAAATCTTCACAACGCCCATTTTCTGGTTTGGTTTACTCCTTGTACCCATAACCACCCTACTAGTCGATGTACTCTTCAAACTTGTACAAAATACCGTATTCAAATCGTTGACCGAAGCTGTACGAGAATCGGAAATACGTAAACATGATCCCGATGATGTTATGAATGAATCGAGATCATCGTTTACGGAAACGGCCAGGCTATTGCGTAGTGTATTTATAAGGCGAGCGAATACCCGCGTCGATACGGATGTGGAGCTGTCACATGGTTATGCATTTTCACAGGAGGAAGGTGGTGCGGTCTCACAATCGGTTATAATCCGTTCGTATGATACGAATCTGCAAAAACCCAGTGGCAACTAGAATCGTAAGCAGTATTGGGCAAGACAAAGATTTTAATATAATATCCAAAATAAAAAATCGAAATTAAAATTAAATTAATATTGAAATTAAAAAAAAAAATTGAAAAAGAAGAACAAGTGAAATACAAAATAACCACCAAAATACAATAAGAAAACCCTGATAAATGATAAAAACAACAATAACAACAAATGTAGATTTTTTACTGAAAACCTCCAAAATTTTCCACGTAGCTGTTTTTTTTTCAAAATTTTTGTTTAAATGTAGAAATAAAAAATTCAGAATAATTCCACCTAGTCCTCTGTGGCCTGAACCTCCATAAGACCACTTGATTTGCTATAAAATCACATGACCTGCAATGTAACCATTTGGTCTTCTTTAAGACCCTATGGTCGTATACCTGAATAAAAAGTGTCCATTATTCTATAGAACCAATTGTTCTTCTATGAGAACAATTGGTCCTCTATAAGACCACTTGATCCTCTATAAGACCATTTATCTCTATTAATTCACTTGGTTCTCTATAAGACCCTTTAGTCTGCCATATGTTAATTTGACCTTCTATAAGAACCAAAAAGGTTCCACAATTCCATAGAACCACACGGTATGGTACAAGACCATTTCGACCTCTATAAGGCAACTTGATAAATAGTTGGTCTGCTATAAAATCACTTGACCTGGTATAAGACCAATTGGCTTTATAGCAGACCAAAAGATTCCACAATTCTATTAAACCACTTGGTCCTCTATAGGACACTAAATGGACACCTCTATATGACCACTTAGACCTCTGTAAGTCCACTTGGTCTGATATAAAATCATTTGACCTGTTTATGCCGATTTGGCCTTCTATAAAACCAAGTGGCTTTATAGCAGAACAACAGGTTCCAAAATTCCATGGAACAACTTGATCCTCTATATGACGACTTAGACCTCCATAAGTCCACTTGGGTCTCTATAAGACCACTCCGCCTGCTATAAAACCTTTTGGCCTTCTATAAGATCATAAGATATTATAGCTAATCAAAAAGTTCCACAATTCTGTAGAACCACTTGGTCCTTTATAAGACCACTTAGACCTCTATAAGATTACTTTGGTCCTCCATAACACCTTGGATTGCTATAAGATCACCTTGTTCTTCATAAGACCAGTGATACTCTATAAGACCCACTTAACTTGATACATGATGATTTTTGGCCTTCTATGAGACCAAGTGGTATCTCTATATGACCAACCAGATCCTCCATAAGAACTCCTAAACCTTTGTGAAATTATCGAATCCTCTACAACACCACCTGGTCCTCTGTAAAAACTAGTGACGGATGTTCTATAAGACCGATTAGTCATCGACAGGATCACAACTTGATCCTCCTATGATGGGCTCTTCTATGAGACCAAATGGTCATTACAATCTTATAGAAGATCAAATGGAATTCTAGAATACCAAATTGACATATAGCAAACCCATGTGGTATTAAAAAAACAACAACTAGCCTTGTTTGAGGTTAGATGCACTCCTTCCGATTTTCAATATTTTAAGGATTATGGACACAATTTTTCAATCGAATTGGCTCTAATTTGAAATTTTGAGTCTTCAGGTGTTGGGAAATCTTTATACCAAAAATTATCAACATTGGCCCACCTTTAAATATAGACTCCATATAAGGACTGCTTCCGCTTTTCAATATTTTAAAGATTTTGAATACATTTTCCAAACTAATTTGCTGTAATTTCATATTTTGGATTCTCATGGTTTAAAAAATCTTCCTACGAAAAATTATAAATTTTGGTTGATTTTTCGATAGAGTCTACCTTTATGCTATCTTCAGATTTTCAGTATTTTAAGGATATTGTACACACTTGTCAAGCGAATTGGCTGCAATTTAATATTTGGGGTTCTAATGGGATTACAAATCATCCTACTAAAAATTATGAATATTGGTTTATTTTTCTCTATATAGTCAACTTTTTCCATACCTTCCGATTTTCGGTATTTTAAGGATTTTTGGTCAAGTTTTCCAACCAAAGTCGCTGCAATTTGATATTTGGGGTTCTCATGGTGTAACAAATCTCCCTACCAACATTTATCTCTATTGGTCCACCTTTAGGTATAGACTCTATATAAGGACTCCTTCCGATTTTCAATATTTAAAGAATTTTGAACACATTTCCCAACCGAATTGGCTGTAATTTGATATTTTGGATTCTCATGGTTTAACAAATCACCATACAGAAAATTATAAATATTGTTTGAATTTTCGATATAGTCCACCTTTATGGTACCGTCCGATTTCCGGTATTTTAAGGATTTTGAACACATTTTCCAAGCGAATTGGCTGCAATTTAATAATTGGGGTTTTTATTGGGTAGTTTATCTTCCTACCAAAAATTATCTATATCGGACCACATTTAAATATGACACCCATATATCGACACGTTCCGATTTTCGGTATTTTAAGGATTTTTGACATATTTTCCAAACGAATTGGATGTAATTTGATATTTTGAGTCTTCAGGTGTTAATAAATATTACTACTCAAAATGATCAAAATTGCTAAAATTTCCTATCTAGCCAACCTTTACCATACCCTCCGATTTTCGGTATTTTAAGGATTTTGATGAATTGGCTGTAATTTGATATTTGCGGTTCTCATGGTGTAACAAATAAACCTCCCAAAAATGATCTATACTGATCTACTTTGAGCCTAAACCCCATTTAAGGACTTTTTTCGATTACCGATATTTAAAGGATTTTGAACACATTTTCCAAGCGAATTGCTTGTAATTCGATATTTTGGATTCTCATTGGGTAATAAATCTTCCTACCAATAATTATCAAAATTTATCCATTTTTTGTTATAGCTCCCATATATCAACACTTTCCGATTTTCGATATTTAAAGGATTTTGAACACATTTTTTCAACCGATTTGGCTGAAATTTGATATTTGGTCCAATTTTAAGTATAGACCTCATACAAGGACTTCTTCCGATTTTCAGTATTTTCAGGATTTCGGACACATTTTTCCATCCCAAGTGGGTGTAATTGATATTTGAGATTCTCATGAGGTAGCCAATCTCCCTACCAAAAATTGGATCTTAGTTTTTTCATGTTTATAATTTCTTTCTTAAGTCCAAAACAATTAAAAGAAAACACGAATTTAGTATTTTGGGAAATTTTTATTGTTTCGACTTTCTCTACTTCATCTGGGCTGGTTATTTGTCGTGTAAAAAATATTCAAACCTAATACAAAATATTAAAAAACAAAAATATCACCTTATAGCGAAATAAACCAACAAATTGAAATAAATATTCGAAAAGAAAAAAATATTAAACAATTTTTATTTTTCAAAAAAGTATTGGCGTCAAATTAAAATCTTAAAATGATATTTAAAATATTGTATTTTGTGTGTATGCAGGGTTTAATTGTTTAACTTGTTTTTCAATTTTTAAAAATATAATTTTTGAAAAAAACAAATCTGTATAAAAAATTCTCAATGAAAAACTTGTTCTGAAAACAAACTGCTTTCTTTTCCAAAAAATATGCATTTAAATAATTTCCTAAAATAAATATTAAAATCCAATTTTTTTTAATTTATAAAAATATTTTGTATATTTTCGCCCCGTTTTATTTTTGTAAAACAAATAATTGAAATGATTTGTTAATTCTCAACATTTGATGTTTTTTTATTTATATATAATAATTAATTATATATATTTGTTAAATCTTTTTTGTATATATATACACTTTGTATGTACGTTTGTTTTGTTATTATTAGTAATAAGCCAGCTAATTTATTTATAAACAAATAAAATAAATCACATTTTTTTGTATTGTACTTACTACATTTTATAAAACAAATTATTATTAATATAAATAATATTTATGTGGTTTTTTTAATATAAGTATTTATATACATATTTTTTTAATAATAAGTAAAATATGAATTCCTAATATTTTTCAATAATTATAATAGATATTTGCACCCTACAATAAAAATGAAAAAAAATCAACAACACAAGCACAAAACATTTCACATAAGCACCCATATCAAATATAGGAAAAAAAATATTAAAAAAATAATAAAACAATTATTCAAAAAAATTAAAAATTTTATTTAAAAAAATTAAAAATTTTATTTAAAAAAATTTAAAATTTAATTTAAAAAAATATTAAAAAACTAAAAAATAAATATTTGAAGATATTACCGATATTGGATACAAAAAAATATTAAACAAAATTATTTAACAAAATTCGAAATTAATAAAAAAAAACAATAAATATTTGACGGATATTAAAAAATAATTCTAAAAAACACCCAAATTTTGTCCGATTGCTACGAAATTTTGCACAGTCAATCGAATTAAGCCCAGAATGAAGTGCATTATTGTTTTTTTAAACGGTTCAGAATTCGATATAGCTCCCATATATATTTCCGACCGATTTTATAAGAACGGTGCACCAAGTGGCCAAAAACTGTCCGATTGCTACGAAATTTTGCACAACGTATCGAAGTGAGCCCAGAATGAAGTGTATAAAATTTTATTAAAATCGGTTCTGATTTCGATATATATTTTCTTCCGATTTGAGGTAATTGGTGCAACAAACACCCCAAAGTTTGTCCGATTGCGATGAAATTTGGCATAGAGTGAAGAATTGAGCTTAGAATCTTGTGTATTAAATTTAATTGAAATCGGTTCAGATTTCAATATAGCTGTCATATATATTTTCTTTCGATTTCACATAAATGTTGCACCAAAGATGCTACATTCGTCCGATTGCCATGAAATTTGGTACAGAGTAAAGAATTGAGGTTAGAATGGTGTGTATTAAATTTTATTGAAATCGATTCAGATTTCGATATAGCTCCCATATATATTTTCTTCCGATTTGAGATTAATGGTGCACAAAATGGCCAAAGTTTGTCCGATTGTGATGAAATTTACCACAGCCTACCGAATTGAGGCTAGAATGACGTGTATGAAGTTTCATAAAAATTGCTTCAGATTTCGATATAGCTGTCATATATATTTTCTTCCGATTT